CATATAAATATATAAATATATTTGTATTTGTATTTATATATTTTATATTTATATATTTACATGGATATACATTTTTATTTGTATATAAATATAATTTATGTATAAGTTATTATCGGAAAATCCTAGTAGCTTAGTGGTTGGAGTATCGATCTTTGACCAGAAGGTACTCGGGTTTGAATCTTGCCAATGACAATTCTCTTAATTAGAGAGGGGTTATGAATAAATAAAAATATTAGAAGAGTTTTGTCATTAATTTGAGAGAAAAAAAATACTAATTAGTAGTTATGCTGTGGTTAAAAGTCATTTTTTTCTATTTTCATAACTAAAGGGGCTAATAAAATAAAAGAAAACAAAATTACAGGGGTGAAAAGCAAAAGAAGTAGAAAAAAGAGGTAAAAGGTATGGTTTACTCTACCAAACACAAAATTTAATTAAAGTGTGATTTAAAAGACCTAAAGCCATATTTCTAGCCAGCCAATGATTATTTGGATTTCATTAAAGTGACACCTAATGTTTACTTTAGTAAAAAAGAAAAAACTATCTTCACCTTGCAGCCGCTGAAAAAGAAAAAAACAGAAAGAAACAGGTAAAACTAAATGAACAAAAAATATATACATGGCGTGTGAGCTTTGCAAGGTTCGGTTTGAACACAGCCTACAATCATTGCGTCACACATGCAAGGAATGTTGCACGTAGTTTAACATTTCTATACTTTGCTTTTATAATACTATTTTTTTAATCTCTTTTTATTCTATTTTATAACAATTAAAATCAAACAAAATGTGTATTAAATTGTGATTGAATAACTATAATTATTTTTTATGGTCTATCTCTTTATGTCTCTCTTGATTGAGAAAAAGAGAATGCACTAGACTTATAATTTCTCATAGGATAATAATATTCTATACCTTTCTTTTTCCCTTCTAACCATTTACCATAGACAAAGTGCTTTTTGGTATGCAAAGAAAACAAAACAAAAACAAGACATGCTTTTCTCTCTCTTCAACATGTTTCCATCTGTTTTTGAGTTGTAATTTACTGTTATTACGTTGAATTTGAGGATTACGTGAAGTTAATAAACTCTTATACATTTCCATATGAATGAGAATATATATATACATTTTTAAAATTTGAATAACTCAAATTATTTACATCTTTGAAGATCCTTTGGGTATTTGATTTGAGTTTTCAGCAAACGAAGATTCTTCTCGACGATTGAATCACGAAGTTACAAGAAACAAAAGAATCATTCCTGTGGGGTGAAAAAAAAAAGCATAGAAGTGTGAGGAAGAAAAAATAAAAGAGAAGAAAAAGGAAGAGAAGGAAGATGAAGAGAATAAATGAGAAGTGAGTTCCGACCCTAAGAATATTTCCCATGTGTAGAAGTATTTGCACTCGTTACGCCTTGATTGCTCATTATATGTTTCCATGTTATGATGATCTGTAAAGTAATTAATTAATTAATAACTATTAGCAATTTTTGTACTACCCCAAGTCTTCACTTAAGGACAAATTAAGTTGTAAGCGATATAATTGACCTTTAATACGATAGAATTATACATAGGCCCAAACGCGTCACTTTATTAATTGGCTATGAAAACAATTATAATAATAATAGATTGATGTTAACATTTAACTATCTTAATAATAAAAAGTGTGTTTGCCATAATGTTATTCCCTGTGGAATTATCTCTTGGTTAAGAATGTTAATTATTATAATGGAGAAAGAGCTTATTTGTTAAACACAAAAGGTTTAATGTAGAATGAATATAGTTAAAAATATTAACCGTAAACATATAATTTGGTGTTTAAATGTAACAACCTACCTATATATATATATTTTGTTCTTGAAAACTTGTTATGGACAATTTAGTTTGGGTTTAGTAACTTCTTTTCAAATGGAATAGAAATAACATAAATTGAAATTGAAATCACAGTCACTGTGTACAAAAACTGAAACAAACAAGAGTCAAGTTAACTAAATGGATTATATATCAACAAGACAATGTCATACTAATCAATGATGGATATTGATTATTGATCTTCGGAGCTAAATAATATATTATTAATAAATAATAAAAACATATAAAAAGAAGAAAGAAGATGAAAAAGTGAAAGAATAAAATTGTAGATATATACTTAAATATATTAAATGATCATTAAGTTTGAGAAAGACAAAATCATAAATTATACGAGAGTTACAAACCGAGGAGAAGTTGATAAGATAAAAGTATAAATATATAAGTAAATATATTAAATGTTAATTAAGTTTGGGAGAGGGACAAAATCATAAATTTCATGAGAGTTACTAAACTTTAGGAGAGTCACAACCCCTCAACTCCCAAGAAGATCCGCTGCTAGTGCTAATGGTGGCTACATTAAATATTAGTTTTTTTTATAAATTATTATATAATTAAGAATCATTAATTTTATACTAAATATTAATTTATTATATATGATATTTAGATTTAGACATCATAAAATTTGTTTTTAAATAAAAAAGTTGATAAAAATTCCATCCGAAACGAAAGATGGGTTAAAAATCATTCTAAAATAATGAAATTTCATACATGATAATATTATAGTATATAAATTTTTTTATTAAATAATTTTATAAAATTGAGTTTATATTTTATTATCTTTAACATGGTTTAAAAAAAAATTCTAACTTAACCATAGTATAGGAAAATATATAAAGATATAATAATAAAAAAATTTACTCAAAATTTGTGTAAGAAAAATCTCCTTAATCTTACCTACAAAATTTTTTATAAAATTTTGAAAACTTTTAAATTTTCAATAAGATAATATTGCATACACATACAAGACTTTATTTTTAACTATTTCCTCGCATGTTATCTTTTTAAATCATTGAATAAAACCAGATTAAAATCTTATACAATGGTTCTAATAATTCTCTATGTTCTCGTGCAGCTGTCATCATTAGAAAAAGAAAATCTATTATGGGAAACTTATTAACATAAGCTAATTAGCATACCCAATTATTTATTTATTGGTACAATAATTGAAAGATGATGCACCATTTATTTTGAAATTGCTTTATTAAGAGCTTAATGGAACCCTAAAATCATGTGAATCACAAAATAGACATTAATTTAGGAGGTCCTCAAATGGATATCCCTAGCTTAATTTAGATTAGTCAAAGTTTATTGATGAAATTAGCCTTGGATATTGAGTATCTGAGGGGAAAAAAAAGTATTACTCTCCTTCCATTAGCCATTTGGAAAGCAAGTAAAATAATGATAAGTGATGAGCAATTAAATGTTATAATTTGGGTTATTGCTCAAAGAAAAAGATAAGATGGGTTTGAGATACAATCATACTCAACATAACATAAGAATAAGAATAATAAAAAATGTTGAAAAAGTAAAAGATAGGAGATTAATTTAATAAAACAAAATAATACATCATCCTTAATTACACAAAAAGAGGTTTAGTGATCCCTACCTATACATGATTCAGGTGAGCCTTGTAAGTCACCACTTTTCAAAGTTACAGTGTTTATGACATAATGACACACCTTTACCTTTTAATTTGTCCCCAGTTAGCATAATCAAATGTTCCTAAAATTCCTCTCGTGAATGTCTTTGTTGTCATGGTAGCTTTGAAAATGTCAAAAATAAAACAAATGCGTTGTTGAGTGCTAATCCAAGACACAATTATGCTGCCTCACTAAAATGCAACACACTTTGAGGAACACAAACTGTTTGAGGGACAATTTTAGGAACACCAAAACTTTTGTTGGTTGGAGATCAACTTTCTACACCCTTGTTACTTTCAACTTAATCCTCCAAGTTCATGCGTATGTGCTTAATATATTATAATATTCTGGCCTCATTCAAATAACAATGTATATTATTTTAATTTCTTTAAATATACTATTGTGTGTCACATTCAAATGAATATTATTTATTTTTTCAAAGAAAAGAAAATAGTTTATCTCATTTTTAAATAAAAGTGCTGACAAATTACAAATTATTTATATAATTTTTTTCTTTAAATTAAATTTCAAAATGAGTCTTACTGGATTTATTTCTGAGATCAAGTTAAAAAAACTACTAGCAAAATGTAAAGTCAAAAGCAACCTTTTTTGTTTTTTTTTTTGACAAAACGTGGTCGTTTGTTCTTCATTGAGAGATTAATACTAATTTTGCACGTCTCCTTAGATTTCAATGAATAAATAAATACTCTAAACATATTAAACACTGAATAACTAATATATAATGATTTGTTAATAGTAATACTAACTATGGCCGCATAAATAAATTATAGTTAGTTATTACGTTCTTTTAATTTCTTAAACGATAAAATACACGTAACGGAGACAACACATTATTATATGTTTATAAGTTAAAATAACAAAAATGGTTAAATTTAATAAGTTGGATAAAACAGTAAAAAAAAGAATAGAGATAAATATAGTAATAAAGAACAGTTTACAGTTTTAAGATTGATAGAGGTGAAGAATTAAAAAATGATAAAGAATCACGGTTTGTGTTTTGTTATTTATTAATTAGGAAATAAAGGAGAAATTGCGTTAACCAGTTGAGAGACTAGTCCCTCACCGAACGAGAAATTGTTATTTGTTAGTAGTTGGAAGTCCAAAGGGAGAAAGGGGCGCACAACGCACACAGACACAACCCAAAACGAACCAAAACAAGACGGAGAGAGAGAGAGGGGGGTAGATACGTTCATTATATCATCAAACGCTGATTAAAGAAAGAAAAAAAAAAGAGGAAAAACGAAATTGTTGTGTTGTGGCTTCCACACCATGGAAGAGGCTCTGTAAAACCCAAAACTAATCTGTGGTTTGTGGCTAGTGTCTGAGATTGTTCATATGATGTGCTTCTGGGCTCTTGCATTTGGTTGGGGTGGGATCTAATCGGTGGCAGTGATCGGATCGATTGGGCATTTTCATTGCCAATGGGAATGCCCAATCCCAATCTCAATCTTCTGAACCCTCATAGTCACCACGCACCATGAGCAAAGCCCTGGGAGAAGACGAAGACGAAGAAGAACAAGAACAAGACCAAGACCAAGACCATGACTGTTTCTACGACTCACACGACCGTTTACTCTCTCTCTCTTCCTCCTGCTCCTGCTCCAACTCCAACTCCGACAACGAAGAAGCCGAAAACGACACCCAACCCCATCCAAACGACACACTCCCCAATTTTCCCCTCACCAACAACTACGACATATGGATCTCCCAACCATCCTCCGTCTCCGAGCGCCGCACGCGCCTCCTCCTCTCCCTAGGCCTCTCCTCCCTCACGCGCCCAAACCCTCAACCTTCTCCACGCGATCGCCTCTCCCCAATCCGATCCAAATCCGACACCACAACCGCCGCAGCCGCCGCCACCTCCTCCTCCGCCGTCGCCAACCCTAGGCCGCCCAACCCCAAGCCTCCGTCCGAAGAGCTCTGCACGATACGCGATCTCGACAACGGGAAGGAGTTTGTGGTGAACGACTGGGAAAATCTCCGGGAGGTTGCCACGGGGCGGCACTTGACGATGGAGGAGTTCGAGATGACGGTGGGGCACTCCCCCATCGTTCAGGAACTAATGCGGAGGCAGAATGTTGAAGAGGCTAGCGTGGATTCTAATGCGAGTGGCTCCAAGGTGAAGAAGAAAGGAGGGGGGTGGTTGAAGAGTATCAAGAGTGTCGCGAGCTCCGTCGCCGGGTACAGGGATCGCCGGAGCAGCGATGAGAGGGACACCTCGTCGGAGAAGGGTGGCCGGCGGTCCAGCTCCGCCACCGACGACAGCCAGGACGGGACGTTTCACGGCCCGGAAAGGGTTAGAGTGAAGCAGTATGGGAAGAGTTGCAAGGAGGTGACGGCGCTTTACAAGAGCCAGGAGATTCAGGCGCATAGTGGGTCTATTTGGAGCATTAAGTTTAGTTTGGATGGGAAGTATTTGGCGAGTGCTGGTGAGGATTGCGTGATTCATGTGTGGCAGGTGGTGGAGGGGGAGAGGAAGGGGGAGCTGCTGCTGCTGGATAGGGAGAAGGGGGAGGATGGGGGAAATGTGAATATGTTTTTGGTGGTGAATGGGTCGCCGGAGACGACTGCTGCGGCAATGCTGTCGCCGCTCAGGGATGTGGAGAGGAAGAGGAAGGGGAGGTCCAGTGTGAGTAGGAAGTCCTTGAGCCTGGACCAGTTTGTCGTGCCGCAGACTGTGTTTGCACTCACTGACAAACCCGTTTGCTCCTTTCAGGGACATCTACATGATGTGCTTGACCTCTCATGGTCCAAGTCTCAGGTTAGCTTCCAATTTTCAGATGGGTCTTGATGTTCTCTAGTTCCAGTAAAGTGTTCAATTTCAATGTCTCAGTAAAGGGTATTTTGCATTCCTGTGTTGGATTTGCTTTTGTACATCATTGATTTTTTTTGTTAACTGAAATATTCGCATTCACTGAACTGTTGGAGTAGATTTCTTCTCTGTATCTGTATATCAGAAATTTGATACATTCTTAGATAATTGATGGGAGTGGGACAGTTTTCAAGCGTTTGAAAAGACATCAATGGATAATAAATATGGATTTCAAATTGTGGTATTTTTATGTTTAATTTACAGTTTAGGCAACAATGATTATCTTTTTGAGTGAGATTCTACCATAATTTTGTTATAAGTGTTTTCTGGTTATTACGTTGAGAAAGGTATTTATGTGCAGTTCATGAGCTACCAGGCTATTTTTAGTTTTGGTTGAGTCATTGTAATATCTATTGTGGGATGAAGTCTACCCCAGTGAGAAGGTTTCTGGGTCTTTTTCTTTTTTCCCTACTTCCTGTCAGGTTGATATTTTTAGATTTCTATTCTAGGCATTCTTTAGAAAGGAATTTAAAAATGGTTAATGTAGGAAGGTAACTTATAAACTACAGGATGGCATTTGTGTTAAAGATTTCATTATGATCGATGTTTACTTTGATAGTAAAATACTCTGTGGGCGTGTCCAATTTTTCCAGCAGTTTATGGTGAACAGTAGATGTAGAGATAGTTTGGATTGGCTATAATGAAATGTGGGAAGTCTACGTAGTCTCTTTCCTTTCTTGAGATACACTTATACATCTATTAGTCGATTTTATTTAATGTCTATGAGTTTTAAGATAAATTCTTAGATAATATCAACGTCTGTAGTTTCAATTTTGTATATCGCTATTTCTGATAGTCAGTTTGGCAGACCATCGGTGGGTGTGTGGAGGGAGTGATGTTGGGAAGTCCCACATTGCTTACCTCTGTTTGTCAGGTATAGCTTATATATCTGTTGCACAACTTCATTTAATAACAATTGATTTTAAGATAAAAGCTAACAACTAGAACTAAAACTTACTGCTAGAGACAAAAAGAATATCTGCCAGTCAGTAACTTGCTTTGGATGCTGCCCTGTTTGTAACTTGGGAGTGCTTTTCAGATAGTTTATTAATGGCATTACAATAAATGACTGATATTTGATTTTTTTTCTTAATCTTATCTCGTGGTCAATTTATCATTATTTCCTACGTAAGTTTTAGTAGTGTTTGCAACTTTAAAAAAGGAAAATAAAAAAGGATATTGACTAACTAAGTACAGAGGTGCTAAATAAAATTGCTTTTAGTGACCAGTCAAATTTAACCAGTTCCCATTTGATCAGTTTCCAAGTCAAAAATCAAAACTTCCCAAAAGCATTTAATAAACCAAGTTGGTGTAACCCTATCTCTTTTTCCCGAATAAGAAATCTGTATTTATCTCCCCTTTCCTTATACTTTGTTTGGAATTTTGAAATGATTTTGCCTACACGTATTAAATAATATTTGTTGTTGAACTAGTTCATACCCAATGCTAGAGAAATTAACAATATTTGAGCTAGTTGTAATTTATATTTTTTAATGAAAAAACATATTTAACTTCGAAACTTTTGATCAAATTTTTCATTTGCTATACTTCCCCTTATCATCTACGTGAGAGTGGATGCATACCTAAGCACACTTTACATCTCAGCATCTTTGTTTGACTTATACCTTAGGGATAGAGTCACAATAATGTGGGATAAGATGAACACCCTTTGGAGAGTGACGGGAATTTTATGATGAATAGTAATGATTTTCAGGCCCAAAGGTTGTCTTTGAAAAACTTGTGTTGGGGTTATCTTTTATTTTTTTCCTTTATTAAGAGATCTTTATTATTAATGTCTGTTAAAATATCTTCAAAATTTCAATATTTGTGAAAAAGCAGTGCAATGTATTCTACAAGTATAAAATGCATGTATATTTTAGATCATCATTTTAATATATTTTCCCCCCATTTTGCTCAGCACTTGCTCTCATCTTCAATGGACAAAACTGTGCGGCTGTGGCATCTTTCTAGCAAGTCTTGTTTGAAAATATTTTCACACAGTGACTATGGTGAGTAAATGCGGTTATAACATATTGCAGTACTCTTCCTTAATCTGAGTGGAAGTCATATGGGTTAATTATGATAAATGGCAGAGGACTCGTATACTGTTATGTGTTTTACTTTTTATGATTGTTTATTCTGCTGTTCCCATCTAAAAACTGTATCAGATACTAAGTTCATCCTATCCCTATCCAATATGCTTCTAGATATCCCCCTTCTTTGAGGGTTGGGTAAATCACGTTGTGGCATACAGGCAGTTTTATTAAATTATCGACTTTACTGCAAATAGGACTAATTGTACAAGAGTTCTTTAATGTCCATTTGGGTGGATCAGATTTTATAATGAAAACAATTTCATCCTCTTACCTCCTGCCTCCGTTTTTGTTCTTTGCTAATTAAGCCTTTTTCTTCAATCTTCTTTCTCTCTGGCACAGTAACTTGCATCCAGTTTAATCCTGTTGATGATAGATACTTCATTAGTGGATCTTTGGATGCTAAGGTTCGCATATGGAGCATTCCTGATCGACAAGTTGTTGATTGGACTGATCTGCACGAAATGGTCACTGCTGCTTGTTATACACCTGATGGTCAGGTTGGTCCAAGGTTAATGTGCATCTTTTTGAACGCCTAGAAATACAATTTTATGATAAACTAAGTTAAATTATCTGGTGCAGGGTGCACTGGTTGGTTCATACAAGGGTAGCTGTCATTTATATAATACATCTGGTACTGTCAGATGCTTTTTTATTTTTAAAACTGTGTCTAATTATCTATATCTTGGTGATTGTGGGGCCACTGATTATCACCTTGTTTTTTCATTCAGAAAATAAGTTGCAACAGAAGAGTCAGATCAATCTGCAGAACAAGAAAAAGAAATCACATCATAAAAAAATTACTGGTTTCCAGGTAATGTTATGAATAATGATTTACTGCTGTGCTTTATGCCATAAGCTACTTTTTTGTGTACCCATCCGAAACATTGAACGCGGAAAAAGTAAAGTAAAATAGAACAGGAGGTGTACAACTTCAGTGGATTTGCTTTGACTAAGTCACAATGTTTATACTTTTCTTCCTAACTGATTTTATGAACAGTTTGCCCCTGGAAGTTCATCAGAAGTACTTATCACATCTGCTGACTCAAGAATACGGGTGGTTGATGGTGTTGACCTGGTTCATAAGTTTAAAGGTATGTAGTTATACCAAGTGAAAATTTATTTAAAGATAACATATAACTTAACGAGTGAAAAAACCATTTGTTACACACTGTATTTATCTGCATCAAAATTTGTTTTGTTTAGTCTATGGTCAAAGCAAAACTTGAACATTTTTCTCTATGTTTTGTCTGGGTGGTGGGATATTTGGCTCTCACTTATCAGACGTATATGGTATTATTTATTTCGACAGATGAAAAAGGTTGCGGTCTTGCTAGAATCAACTTAGTCTAATAATTGGCCACAAGTCTTCAGTATTCTTATTTCGTTGATGCTGATCAAACTGATGCAAGTTTTGTGCAGGCTTTCGGAATGCAACTAGCCCAATTTCAGCATCCCTCACAGCAAATGGTAAATATGTTGTCGCAGCAAGTGAGGACTCCCATGTATACATCTGGAAAAATGAGGCTGATTGCAGGCCCAACAGAAGTAAAGGTGTCACTGTCACGCGATCATATGAACATTTTCACTGTAAAGATGTGTCAGTGGCCGTTCCCTGGCCTGGTATGGGTGATGCATGGGACATGCATGATACATTTTCTGGAGAACAACCCGAGCTTGATAACAATGCTGATGAGGTCTCATCAGCCAATCATCCTCCTACCCCTGTAGAGGAAAACTTTGTTACCGAGGGTTCAAGATCTGCATCTGGTTACAGCAATAGTCCACGCCATGCAACCATTGCAAGTGCCACAAATAGTTACTTTTTTGATAGAATTTCTGCAACATGGCCAGAGGAAAAACTTCTTCTGGCTGCAAGAAACCAAAGCCCTCGTGTCAGTATGGATTTCTCTAATGGGTTAAGTCAAAAAATGTCAGCCTGGGGTATGGTGATTGTAACTGCCGGCCTTCGAGGGGAAATTAGAACTTTCCAAAATTTTGGATTACCACTTCGAATATAAGAGGTGAAAGAATGCATATGCATATGCTTATGAGCATGGCAGAGAAGGGGTTGATGATATCAGCTCAGAAGGCACTAGAGTTCACCTTCTCCATTAGTTGGTGAAAAACCTGTACAGAAAGTGGGTGAGATTTGTAATATTAGCGGGGTTCATTTCTTTTCTTTTCTTGTTCTTGTGCGATGGATGAAAGATAGGATGTCATTCCATTCAGGCACTGAGGGGGATAAAGGGGAAACCATTGTCAAAAAAAAAAAAAAAAAAAAATTACACCAGGAATTTAGAAACCGATGGATGTAATCGGCAATTGTAGAGTAACGCGAGCATGGGAAAAGCTTATTGAAATTAGAAATGATGATTCTTTTACACTTATTTGTCTTGAGTTTTGTTATGGAATTCAATATCTTGTCCAAAGCAATAAAGAAGCATGGATGCAAGTTTAAGAGTCAGCAGTGGCATTATTCACTCCAGGAATTTAATAAGTACAAAAAGATGAAACTTGAAAAAAATATTCAAACAATAAGAAACTTTTCCAAAGTGATAATAGTTGGCTACCAGACCTGGTATGTGATGGTTTCAAAACAAGTGGTAATTTAACAGTGACGTGCAATACTCTACTGCTCTTAGCAGCAATAGCAACATATATATTCTAGGCTAGTTATTTTCGCGATGAAAATAATTTATGCTTAAATTAAATTTTGGGTATCTTCAATATAAAATTCCAAATCAATCAATGAAAACGCTGGAAGAGTTGATCGGGCACTTAGCCTAAGAGTCAAAATGTTAGGATTCCTGCGTTTATTGGTGCAACAATTAAACTTGTTTCACTGTATACTATATTACAAGATTTGGGCCTTTTTATTGTATTTTTTTTCTAAAAAGAATATTGCATAACGATCATATGGGTTCTGTTATTTCCATCCCAATTTTTTCTGCACCCATATCAAACTCTGTTTGTTACTTTTCATTTCCAATACTATATTCACAATATACACTTGTTTTGGTTATTTTAAGGGGTGCATTCTTCATATAAAATGGAAACGCGTTTTTACTGTGTATAAACGCGAAAGACACAATCTTTAAAACAATGGAAACACTTTTTTTGTGTATAAATATAAAAATATATATGTTTTTTAAATTGGTATGCTACCACCATGTGGTAAACTGGTTTTCAAGAAATAAGAACGAGAGAGGGGCAAGAGTGACTTTTCCATTGGTTGTTTTGAAGAAGTGTGGGGTGAGAAGAGAAAATAAAAATTACCAATAGGAAGGTGCCAGAAAATGTCTGACTTCATTCAGATCACTTACCTCCACTTCATCAATCTCTTTCAACACCGATATTTGCGCTCCATAGGCCATAACTACTATTGTGAAGACATACATGGAGTGGCTCCCATCGACAACGAATCAAAATATCCCTTCTTAAGAAATCTAAAACTCAACACTCCATTGGATGGTTCGAATGACGTGGCACATGCACATGCTGCTAATTATCTTATCCACTCATATCTTCACAAACAACACTTCATATATATTCATTTTCAGTGCACAAACTTGAACCACACATTCCATTACCGCAGTGGTAACCCCACTTCTACTTACTTCACTACTTTGTAAAACCCAAATTCCAGTTTCTACTCTTTTTTTTTCTTGCAATGGCTCTCCAAGCTGCTTCTCTTGTTCCTGCTTCTTTCTCTGTCCCTAAAGAGGTTTGCTTCATTTTCCCACCAGGGAGCTGTTGCTTCCTCTTATTCATTGTTTTATGGGCTTTTTCCATAGAGATAATTGAATCATGTCATTTGTGTTTGCAGGGAAAGAATGGTGTGTCTCTCAAGGACTCCACACTGTTCGGTCTTTCATTGTCAGAACCTATCAAAGCTGACTTCAGCTCCTCTGCATTGAGGTGCAAGGTAACTTCAATTAATGCTTTGCTATCTTCTTCTCAATTCACCATAAGTTGTTTCTCACTAATCTCTGAGTAATAGTCACTAAAGTATTTTTCTTTACGTCCTTTAAAATGGATTTATTTTGAGCAAATAACACTTGAGTTGCTCACTACATCCAGCTTTTTTTAAGGTTTGCAGAACTTCCTTGTTTAAGTGTATGTGTTCTTTGTGGGTAATAGAGTATCAATGTATTGTATAAAGGAAGTCAATGAAATGCTTTTTTAACAATGGAGGTGTTGGTCTAGGGATAAAAAAGAGAAAGAAAAATGGGAGAGAAATTTAACAAAATCTCGGCGTTGACAGTATAATTTGCACTTTTATATGAATTTTTTGGATTTCCAAGTTTAAGATTTCTCATGTAAAATGACCAAAATAATATTTGTTATCTCCGTCGCAAAATAAGTGTTGCGCTATTTTATACTTTTGTTAAATGAATTGGATGATTAAGTTAATTCTACACAACTGTTACACGTTTTTATCTCTTCATTGGGTTTTCTTGGTTTATGTAAAAACGATGAGGACAACACTTGTTATTGGACAGAGGGATAGTATATTCCAGTATAAACTTAATATCTGATTATACTTGTCGGAACGCAAGAATTTAGAATGCTTTAGCTTCTGAGATGTCATTATACTTGTTTGAAACGAGTTTTGATCTGTATTCTCTAATCAATTCAGATTTTGACAACAAACAAATAAAAAGTACTTTGTAATCCACCCACCCTCCTAAAGAAAAAAGTTTTTGTGGCTATTATCTAATTTTTATTTATTTATTTGTTTCCCCTTCTCTATCAGAGGGAATTCCAGCAAAAAATCGGTGCTGTGAGGGCGGAGACAGTGGCTACAGCCTCTCCAGCAGTCACAAAGTCTGCACCAGAAGGCAAGAAAACATTGAGGAAGGGTAGTGTTGTGATAACTGGAGCTTCCTCTGGATTAGGCCTGGCCACTGCTAAGGCTTTGGCTGAGACAGGGAAATGGCATATAATAATGGCCTGCAGGGATTACCTCAAAGCTGCAAGAGCTGCAAAATCTGCTGGCATGGCCAAGGAAAACTACACCATCATGCACTTGGACCTTGCCTCTCTTGACAGTGTCCGCCAATTTGTTGATAACTTCAGAAGATCACAAATGCCACTAGATGTGTTGGTTTGCAATGCTGCGGTTTACTTGCCAACTGCTAAGGAACCTACATTCACTGCTGAAGGATTTGAACTTAGTGTTGGAACAAACCATCTAGGACATTTCCTCCTTGCACGCCTATTGCTTGAGGACTTGAAAAATTCTGATTACCCTTCAAAGCGCTTGATCATTGTTGGTTCAATCACTGGTCAGTTCATTAGCTTGTTTATTGAGAATTCTAGTAGTTCTTAACACACTCATCAATTTGTTGCTTTTTTGTGCTGATTGTCTGCATTCAACAGGGAACACAAACACATTGGCTGGTAATGTACCTCCTAAGGCTAACCTTGGTGACTTGAGAGGACTTCAGGGTGGTTTGAATGGGCTAAACAGTTCAGCCATGATTGATGGTGGAGACTTTGATGGTGCCAAGGCATACAAGGACAGCAAAGTCTGTAATATGCTCACAATGCAGGAATTCCACAGACGATACCACGAGGAAACTGGAATCACGTTCTCATCACTCTACCCCGGCTGCATTGCCACAACAGGCTTGTTCAGAGAGCACATTCCCTTGTTCAGAACTCTATTCCCTCCATTCCAGAAGTACATAACCAAAGGTTTTGTCTCAGAAGATGAAGCAGGGAAGAGACTTGCTCAGGTAGCAATGACCCTCCAGGGTCGACAATGATAACAAGAGCATGAATTTTTCATGTGTCATTATATCTCATGTGTTGTGGTTGCCTTTATACAGGTTGTGAGTGATCCAAGCCTTACAAAATCTGGTGTATACTGGAGCTGGAATAAAACATCTGCTTCATTTGAGAACCAGTTATCACAGGAGGCTAGTGATGCTGAGAAGGCTCGTAAGGTGTGGGATATTAGTGAGAAACTCGTTGGTTTGGCCTAAGGGGGAAGAGTGGATAGATATATCCTATCATTTTGAATGCGTTAATGTTGTTTTGCTAGCTAGGTACTTCTTTGCCTTGATGTAGATTGTGAATCACAACTCAATAAAATAATTAAACCATGAGGGTGTAGCCAACTTGCTCATATACTCTTTGAAATAACTGTGCATAGTAACTAAAATTATAGTGTGGGGTGTTATCTTTCAAGTTTTTCGTTAATAGTGATTTCTAAGTGAATTCTAAATCAAATGGTATAATTAAGATCTTGCTCCATATAAAAGAGCAATTGCACATGCAATATGCAAGGAAGAGAGGGGGATCCTTAGTGCTTGAAGTAGCAAGCATGTTTATTAGTTCAATAAAAATATTAATAAGATTATGAATGAAAAATTAAGATATATGTTTTTCATGTGTAGTTATACAAAACCATTCTTGGATTTACTTTCTGCATTTCGTGCTCATTATCCTTAATTTCTTTCCAAAAAAAAAACAATCTTGATAACCATTAACCACGATATAAGCTAACTCAACATTTTTTTGAAAGCTGGAACCATGCATGATCTATCACAGTTTACTCCCATACACAGCATATTACATTACACGGCCAAAATTCAATAGTTGCAGTTTCTTCTCATATTTACAAAGTTCGTCATGATGGATACGAGTAATATTAATATACATCATAGTGACTCAAAGTTCATAGCCTGGGAACTTACCCATTTGTGGATCAACCATGTCTAGACAAGTATATGCCATTCCTGCAAGACCTTCAAATAAGGAATAGGGGCGATCTCCTCCATGCATCTTTCCTTCTGAGATTAGTTTTTGTGCTCTATCAAGTAGGAAACAAGTAAATGCTTTGGCCCTGTACAAGTACTCCTCATTTCCTGTCAATCTGTAAAGAGAAAGAAATACATAGGTGTTCCCACTGATGCCATGACAGATCCCAACTCGCTTAAGCAGACCCCTTTTCCATACTACTTCCCCCGCCTCTACAGCTGCTTCAAGAAATTCCATGTCTCCAAAAACCTAATTGTTATGGCAAAGAATATAATCATGAGATGTGAACATGTATTTCACAACAAGGCTCAAGAAATCTTGCATAATTCTGCAATTTAAAACAAATTTTTGAAAACTTTTTTAACAATCGGTATTTATTTATTTTTTTAAATAATAAACAGATAAGTCTTTAATTTCTTGTTTGTACGTTTGGCAAATGAAAGGAATATGACTTCTATTGAACTAAAAAATGAATTACCATTAAGAGGAGTTGTACGGACAAAATCTTCTTAATAATATTTTCTGCATTGGTTAAAATGTATTGAAATCTAGAAAATGCTGAAATAGATTCATTAAATAAAATGTAAGAACCACAAAATTTAACGATTTCCTATCTATTTCAAACAATGATAGAGTTTGTTAGAGACTATGTTACTAGCATTTCTCTTACTTTAAATACCAACTGAATTGCATATATCACTTTTCAGTTTCAATGCCACCATATTCATTAGTCATTAAAATTGGAGTGTTGGTCATTCTTTTTAAAAGCAACAGTAAAGTATAAATCCATTGCAGCCAGATTCATGCAAATAATATAATTTATCAGTTCCCCTCATGCCTGCGAGGAAGTTATAACCAGTAGGCTGCTTTCAGACATGAAAAACCACATCCCTTATGAACGAACACATACTACATCTGACAAGACTCTTCAGGCAGCATGCATTTGAATTTGGTAACTAAGGAAAAGATTACCTCAGCTGCCTTTACAAGGGTAAGAGTGACTCCGGGAGCACCATGACACCAATGCACAAGACGGTCATTTTCACTTCCTTCACTGGAGGGATAATTGCCACTAGGGAAACGATTCTTAATCATGTAATGTATGGTACCCTTGACATCTTCCACCTCATCTGGCTTGAGTTCCGTGTCCATCAAAACATGCATAATTCCTGCCAGTCCATGTGCAGCACCCCAGTATTTCTTCCCATGCCATTCATACATTAGAGGACATCTTCCCTTGTGACCTAATTGTCTGCCAGCCGTGATAACTTCATCCACTACTGATCTCTATGGAAGTTAAAAACCCATCTTGTCAAAATAAATTGCAGCGTAAAAAAATTCCATGAGACTCATCATGAAGCACATAGGCCTTATTACCATGTGGGTAGTAGGTATTGTGTTGTTACCAATATGCTTGTTTAAGAATGAGCAAGCCCATAAGTAACCTGTTCTACCATACAATAGCTCATAAGGAGAATCACGAGGTATTACAATCTGTTCTAAGCAAAGGCACATATAGGAAAAGGGGTTAAAAGAAGTGGATTCAATGCATAAATAGGAATATTATAAGAAGAATCAGAAATAAAAACAACAAAATACCTCTTTGAATTGTCTCAAGTAATAGTCAAGTAGTCTTTCATCACCAGTATGCTTAGCTACAACAGCACCAAGAGCACAAACACCAGCACGCCCACAGAGAAATGTCACACGGCTGCAATCAATACATTTGAATATAGAAAATTAAACCAAAATCCTCTCATTTCCCACATTGGATTGAAACCAGTGTTATTAACAGCAGATGGCAGCTTATGACACATAATAAATGTTATGACCTCCAAAAATAAAGCATCAGAATCAAGGATGAAAAGTGCACATCATGGGCAACTGATTATATTATTTAACAAATATACAATTTCTTTAGTTGGTTATGATATTTTATCTTTAGATTATCTTAGAATCAGTTATTTAAATATATCATTATTAGTTTATTTTAAAGACACAAGATTATGATTTTGTTAGCTTGTGTCCCTGTAATTAAGCTTATTATGCAACTTTCAACATTGGTGCTTTCACTAACTCATTCTGTGAGAAATCAAATAGTATTTTAGGAAAGAATAAATAAGAAAATTTGTATATTTCCTTGTAATCTGTACAGATTTGAATAATTAGGAACAATCCCATAAATCAAAGGATCCTAGCATAAAATAGAGTTATTATATTTCCTAAAATAGTTTAGGTCTCTTGTATATATCTTATATCATCTCTTTGTATTAAGATAATAAAATAAATCATATTTCAGTTAATCTATTTTTCCAGATGGTATCAGAGCTTCCGATCTAGGAAGCTCTGTCTGCGCTCGATAAACCCTAAGACGGCAGCCTGCATTGCTGCTGCATATTTTGTAACCCTAAGACGGCAGCCTACATTGCTGCTGCATTTTTCTTAACCCTAAGACGGCAGCCTACATTGCTGCTCGCATTTTTCTTAATCCTAAGACGACGACTGCATTGCTCGCTGCATTTTTCATAATCCTAAGACGACGACTGCATTGTTGTTGCATCGCACCTTTTTGCTATAATGTCAAGGGAAGAGGAGATAGAAAGGGTGAAAACCATTCTTAGTAAGTCTGGAAAAACCTACAGGTATGTGTTCTTTGGCATACTCAGGTAAGTTTCCACCTTCTTTTGGATTAAATGTCTCGGATACGCCCTTTAACCATTATTGGATATTGGACTCGGAGCCACAGATCACATGACACCATTAGCCAAACACTTCTCCACATATTCCCCATGTCCCAGCAACAAGAAAATTGCCACAGCAGATGGAACCCTTATAACTGCAGCTGGTCAAGGAAATATCCAAATCAATCCTTTAATAACCTTAAAAGACGTTCTCCATGTCCCAAAGTTGTCCACGAACCTAGTGTCTATACAAAAACTTATAAAGGATTTGTCATGTAAAGTTGTTTTTTCCAATGATCATTGTGTATTTCAGGATAAGGATTCGGGGAGGATGATTGGACATGCTAGAGAATGGAATGGCCTTTATTATCTCGAAGATCCAAGTCTGCCCAGCAAGAATAGAATCTCTCACTCCTTCATATCTGAATCCTTGATGACTGTTAGATATTAGTTGATATTGTTTGATATTGTTGAGATATTGTTAGATATTGTTAATCACAATATCAAATAATATCTTTTATTTACCCTATTTGTATTCTGTTACTCTTTTGAGGAGTACCTTTCTTTATTATAAATACACTGCCCTATGTGTGGTAAACACATAAGGGAAATTAACCCTATACAGTTTTTCCCTATATTCAACATGGTATCAGAGCCAAAGTCTAACATCTTTCCGATTATTGTCATGGGCCAAAAGTTTCCCTTTAGTTGGGTCAAAAGTACCCTTTGCCTGGTCCGGCAGGCTTCGTTGGAGGGGGTGTGTTGAAAGTCCCACATCGCCTACCTCATATCATTTGGTATGGTTTAAATACATGTTAGGCTACTCCACATATTGCCAATTGGTTTTATGTTGGAACCTTAACATGGTATCAGAGCCAAAGCCTAACATCTTTCCGGTTATTGTCATGGGCCAAAAGTTACTCTTTAGTTGGGTCAAAAGTACCCTTTGCCTGGTCCGACAGGCTTCGTTGGAGGGGGTGTGTTGAAAGTCTCACATCGCCTACCTCATATCATTTGGTATAGTTTAAATACATGTTAGGCTACTCCACATATTGCCAATTGGTTTTATGTTGGAACCTTAACATTGAGATTGACTGCCATTTTATTCGGGAAAAGATTATGTCTGGAGACATCAAGACTGAGTTCGTTAACTCATGTGATCAATTAGCAGATATTTTCACTAAGTCTTTACGGGGACCTAGGATGGATTATCTTTGTATCAAGCTAGGCACATACGATTTGTATGCTCCAGCTTGAGGGGGAGTGTTAGATATGATTAGATATTAGTTGATATTGTTTGATATTGTTGAGATATTGTTAGATATTGTTAATCACAATATCAAATAATATCTTTTATTTACCCTATTTGTATTCTGTTACTCTTTTGAGGAGTACCTTTCTTTATTATAAATACACTGCCCTATGTGTGGTAAACACATAAGGGAAATTAACCCTATACAGTTTTTCCCTATATTCAACAATGACCAACAGAGAAAAAATCATGCTTTATCATTGTCGGTTGGGACATCCCTCTTTTGGAGTGATCAAAATTATATTTCCCTCTCTGTTTACCAAGTTAGATGTTGAGAGTCTTCATTGTGAGGTGTGTGAACTTGCTAAGCACAAACGTATATCTTTTCCAATAAGTAATAGAATTATCAATTTCCCTTTTTATCTTGTTCATACTGATGTATGGGGACCTTCTAATATTCCAAATGTGTCTGGTACTCGATGGTTTGTCACCTTTATAGATGACTCGTACAAGGGTCACTTGGGTTTTCCTACTTAAACAAAAATCGAAGTCGGTCTCGTCTTCCTAAACTTCCACTCCCGATAAAAAATCGGTTTGGTGTTAATATTAAGAGGCTTAGGTCGGATAATGCCAAAGATTACTTCAATCATGTCCTTAATTCTTTTTGTCAAAAAGAAGGTATAATTCATGAGTCCTCTTGTGTCAAAACACCACAACGAGAATGGGGTCGCAGAGAGGAAAAATGGACATCTATTAAATCGGACTCGGGCATTGTTGTTCCAAAAAAGTGTCCCAAAAAATTTCGGGGAAGTCTGTCCTTACGAGCAACATACCTTATCAATAGACTACCCTCTAGAGTCTTAGGATCAAAAAGCCCTATGGAAGTTTTGTCGTCTTTCTATCCAAACTTGTCGACTACAAATAATCTTAAACCAAGAGTTTTTGGGTGCATCTCATATGTCCATATTCATAGTACGGACAGGGGAAAACTTGATCCTAGAGCCTTAAAGTGTGTCTTTGTTGGTTACTCACCCACTCAAAAAGGGTATAAATGCTACCACCCCCCATCCAAAAAATTCTTTGTGTCTAGGGATGTTACCTTCAATGAACAAGAGGGCTATTTCCATCAACCTTATCTTCAAGGGGAGAGTTTCAGGGAAGATAAGGAAAGTAGTGATTCTGGTTTTCCCATTCTTCCGGACTTGACATTTGAACCTAAACGAAATCATATTGAAAGTAGTAATTCCGGTTTTCCCATTCTTCCGGACTTGATATTTGAACCTAAACAAGATCAAATTGAAGATCAAATTGAAGTTGTAACAAATGAAACAAGTCAAGGAATTGGTCAAGCAAAGGAAGTTGGTCAAGAAAGTGAAATTAATTGTGAAGCTGATTAAGAAGATGTTGAAACTGGAAAATTTGGTAAGAAGCTGGTGTACTCAAGGAAGACTAAGGCCATTCCAGGATCAAGCCATGTTCAAGAATCCAACTCGACTCCACAAAAAGAGGTAACAATTTTTTCTCCAGCTGTGCAGGTTGAAATTGAAACCCAAAATGATCCTGACCTCCCAATTGCCATTAGAAAAGGAACAAGAAAATGCACCAAACAGCCACTCTACCCTCTCTCAAATTACCTATCCTTTAAAAATTTCTCTCCTACCCATAAAACCTTCTTAGTAAACCTAAACACTGTACTTCTACCTAATACCCTATCTGAGGCATTGTCTGACAGAAAATGGAGGCAAGCCATGGATGAAGAGATGAAGGCATTGGAGAAAAACAACACTTGGGAGTTAGTCCCCTTACCAATAGAAAAGAGGCCAGTTGAATGTAAATGGGTCTATACAGTGAAATACAAGGCTGATGGATCAATTGAGAGATATAAGACAAGACTAGTTGCCAAAGGGTTCACCCAAACCTATGGAGTTGATTATTTGGAGACCTTTGCTCCGGTTACCAAAATGAACACAGTTAGGGTGATATTGTCCCTTGCTGCCAATTATGGTTGGAACTTGGAACAATTTGATGTTAAGAATGCTTTCCTACATGGAGACCTTGAAGAAGAAATCTATATGGAGATACCTCCGGGATATGGTAAAGATGTTGCTACCAACACTGTTTGCAAGTTGAAAAAGGCATTATATGGGTTAAAACAGTCCCCCCGTGCATGGTTTGGCAGGTTTACTAAAGTTATGACAGGTCTGAGTTACAAACAAAGCCAAGGGGACCATACTTTGTTTTTTAAACATTCCAAGTCAGGGGGAGTAACAATATTATTGGTATATGTGGATGACATAATATTAACTGGAGATAATAAAGAAGAGTAACAATATATGTGGATGAAAGTCCCACATCGCCTACCTCATATCATTTGGTATGGTTTAAATACATGTTAGGCTACTCCACATATTGCCAATTGGTTTTATGTTGGAACCTTAACATGGTATCAGAGCCAAAGCCTAACATCTTTCCGGTTATTGTCATGGGCCAAAAGTTGTCCTTTAGTTGGGTCAAAAGTACCCTTTGCCTGGTCCAGCGGGCTTCGTTGGAGGGGGTGTGTTGAAAGTCCCACATCGCCTACCTCATATCATTTGGTATGGTATAAATACATGTTAGGCTACTCCACATATTGCCAATTGGTTTTATGTTGGAACCTTAACAGAGTCAATGCTTAGGCAAGGAATTTGAGATCAAGACTTTGGGAAAACTAAAATATTTTTTGGGAATGGAAGTTGCCCACTCCGAGAAAGGGATATTTATATCTCAGCAGAAATACATCACTGATTTGCTCAAGGAAACTGGCAAGGCAGCTTGCAAACCCGCTAGTACCCCATTAGAACCAAACCTAAAGCTTGGAAATGCGTAAGAAGATGTTGCTCGTTGAAAAAGATATGTACCAAAGATTAGTGGGCGGACTTATATATTTGTCACATACCAGTGCCGGATATTGCCTATGCAAGTGAGTTTAATTAGCCAATTTATGCATAGCCCAAAGGAGACCCATTTACAAGCTGCCTACGTAATTTTACACTACCTTAAAGGAACTCCAGGAAAAGGGATTCTATTCAAAAGGAATGGTAATGTGAAACTTGAAGCCTATACTCGATGCCGATTATGCAGGGTCAATTGTGGATAGGAGGTCAACTATAGGATATTGCACCTTTCTTGGAGGAAATCTTGTGACTTGGAGAAGCAAAAAGCGGGTGTAGTGGCTCTGGTCCAAGGCTCGAAGCGGAATTCCGAGCCATGGCACAAGGTATATGTGAGTTGCTATGGCTTAAAATCATCTTAGAAGACTTGAGGATAAAGTGGGAAGAACCTATGAAGCTCTATTGTGATAATAAGTCAGCAATCAAGTATAGCCCACAACCCAAGTGCAAGCATGATAGAACAAAGCATATTGAAGTAGACAGATACTTCATCAAAGAAAAGCTTGATAGTGGCTTGATATGCACTCCATATGTGTCCTCTCAAGACCAAATTGCAGTACATTCTTACCAAGGGACTGGGCTGCCATAATTTTGAGAAGATTGTATCCAAGCTGGGAATGGAAAACATCTATTCACCAGACTTGAGGGGGAGTGTGAGAAATCAAATAGTATTTTAGGAAAGAATAAATAAGGAAATTTGTATATTTCCTTGTAATCTGTACAGATTTGAATAATTAGGAACAATCCCATAAATCAAGGGATCATAGCATAAAATAGAGTTATTATATTTCCTAAAATAGTTTAGGTCTCTTGTATATATCTTATATCATCTCTTTGTATTAAGATAATAAAATAAATCATATTTCAGTTAATCTATTTTTCCAGACATTCCATAGCTGACAGAACAAGACTTCGCAAAATTGAGAGTGTGTTGTTTCGAATTGAGACACAAAACTCCAGTTTCCAAGACCGCATGGAAATCCAAATGAACCAATTCATGTCTCTGTTACAACAAAATAAATCAAATGCTGACGGTCATGATGCCAAATCTATACATTCAATTCCGCATATAGACTGGAAATTGATTTAAGAGATTGTCTCTTATGTGGAGTTTCTGGGCTTGACTCGAAAAAAAGATCAACACTAAACATCCAACATAAAAATATGGCAATTGGTATTGCAGATCATGGTAGTAATTAAAAAAATACAAACACAATATGTATACTAAAATACACAATTAATTTCAATGAACTGTTAGTGTACAGAATTTTTCGGTGTCAACCAATAACAAATCATAGCATGTATTGTAAAAGTCAATAAACTCCCCATAATATAACAATTTATGAATAGATGATGCTATAAAAACTCCTTTACACTGTAGGTGAACAAACTATTTTCTGCACCAATAAACAAGAAGCCTAAACTTTCCACCAAAAAGTATTCCAAATTAAAACTAAAATTGTTTAGTTTAGGCTTTTCCAAACACTAATTCGCAATACTGGTTCAAGAAAACATAGGCATAAACACAAGCGGAAATCTCCGGAATACAGAACAAGACAGGCAACAACAGTATAATGTGCTTCAAACAACGCTATTATGCTTCAACCTAACCATTCGAAACAAGCAATCCTTAAAACCTAAACCATAAATACCATATTTAAACAATTTAAAGTTTAAACCAACCCTTTATAATGACTAAGTCATAAATCATAATAGCCTTAGATACACGAAAGTGACAGTGTACCTAGAATCTGCTGAAGCAGAATGACAAGCCTCAATAATCTCTGAGCACAAGTTAAGATCATTCCCATCCTTGGTTACTTGGTAGGCCTTGAAAAGCAGGTATGCTGTTCCAAGAGCCCCCGTGTAAAGGGTATAGTCCTTCACACGCTTCCCACGTGAACCCCATGTCTCCCTCACCACCTGAACAGCAATTACAAAACACTTACACACCGACCCACCTCAGCAACCTGGCTAAAGCTACTAACTTGAGCCTACCCAAAATCAAAGAAATCCAATAGAAAGAAACCCACGAATTCAAAATGAAGATTTTTACCGATTGCTTCAAGTGAAATGCAGAAACTTGGAACTTTGCAGAGAGGGATTGGTAAGAGAGAGAAAGAAGGGCATTAAGAGAGTCTGTCAATGGACTTTGGTCTGTTGTCTCTGCCACGAAGAGAGGCATCTCGTTTGGAAAGAACCGATCGGTCATCTCCGGCCAACGGTGTAGAATCCGCTGGAAAACGGTGTAAAACTGTGTCTCTTCCAATCAACCCTTTGGGAAAAACAAATTGAATTACATTAAAATCAAATAAAATATAATATTAGAAAACCGAAAAGGAAGACAAGTATAATTTTGTAGTCAGTTCTAGAAAAAAATATTATGTTTTTAACTTATTTATTCCTTAACTAAATGTTTTGTTTGTCTTCTAAATGTTTCAAAATTTACAGAATAATATTTCTTTCTCATTCTCTATTGTAAAACAAAAAAAAAAATTCCACTTATATATTTTATGGTCTGTTTGATTAAAAGGGAAAGAGACGGAAAGTGAAAGAAAAAAAAAACGATAGTAAAGAAAATGTAAGATTGAAAAAGTTAAAAGTTTTTAACTCTTTTAGACATATTTTTTTCTAGTTAATATTTAAACATTAATAAATAAATAATTCTTAAAAATAATTTTATTTTTATTTTAAATAGATTCGTATATATTATTATTAAAATATAATTTAACCCTTGTATAGACAGATAAAATTATATTTTAATAATAATATGATATTGAAATTATTTTTAAAAATTTTATTTTAAAAATTTTAAACTAAATTAAAACTTACAAAAACTTTAAATGATTAAATTTATTATTTTACTTAAATAAAAAAGAAATTATTTTATTTATATACTATTATTTATTATTAATGATTTTATGTATATTATTTTATTATTATTAGTTTAATTGTTTATTAAAATAATAGAGAAAACGATTAAAACAAAAAACTATAATTTATTATGGGAGCCGCTCATTTCAATATAACTATAGAGAAAGTTTCTCTCTTAATTGGAATCAACAAATGTTTATAACATTTTTGAAAAAAATATTTTCATAAAGATTTTAAAAGGATTAAAATTATTTTTTTATAAGTTAGATTTAGTTTATATATAAATTACTTTATAAAAGCTTTCTTTTTTTAAAACGTTTCTAAATTATTGTTTTAATTAGTATACAAACTAATTTTAATGTATACTTTTTTTCTTTAAAAGTTTTTATGGAAGAATTTGTTTAATATATCTTCAGTATATTGGAACATAAATTCAAACACATTTTAACTCGCTGCGACTTCTTCAAATAACACTAAATCCTCATCTACTGCATAAATTCTAAATCTTTGACCACAATCAAATTTTGATACCCAATTACAGATTAGTATTGTACCCAATTACAGATTTTTGTTGTTGATGACATGGGAAGATATTTCACTGTTGAAAGCTATGTGCTTATATCTTAAGTCATTGAAATTTATTTGAAGTTTTATATTTTTATTAGATGTTTTCGTGTACATCATGAATCTGAAAATTGAATCTCTTAATCACATAAGAAGGAAGATTATCTATAAACCATATTACACTACTGAGAGTTATTTTAGATTCTCACTACCACCATTCTTATGTAACCAAAATTTCTGGGTGGACTGCAATTAATTATTTCAGTTCATGTGAATGTTAACGTGGCATTAAGGTAGCTGAAGCACTTTCATTGACTGCAGTAACTGTAGTTTCTCCTTGTTCATCCATTTTGTACACCATGTCATCCATGTTGCATCACAATTCCTAGGATCTACTTGACAACACAAGCAAGCAGAAAATAAAACAAATTCAGAAGAGTAAGTTGGGCAAGAAGCATAAAGATGACATTTTTATTTAACATTATTATCCATAAGGTTTGTTTTATGCTAATGTTGGTCCCATTCCATCCAATTGGATTGACTTCCCACTCTGGGAATGCTGTTGACTCTGGCAAACTTATCAACTTTGAAGTTGGCCCCACACATGGCCCCTTCACTGTCCACCCTTGGCATTGCCTTCAACTTGTTCATTGGATGCTCAAAGCTCATCAAGCCTCCTTCACTGTGAAACATACACCCTGCATTCCACCACCAACATGTCATGGATCTCATATCTAATATTATTAGTTCATTACTTTTCCTTCAAACTGTTGGTTGAATTTGTTCCCTTGCATGTTTCTCTTAGTTTGATTTATTACTGCATTAATTGTATAGTTTTGGCTGATTCCATGAACTTGACAGAATATTGCCATGTCCTGTATTTTCCTATACTATCACATCAATACATTCTTACTAATGTGATACTTGTCAACATTTGTTCCAAATGTTTGACCAGCAAATAAATTAAAAGATAAATGCAATTAAACCTAAATTATTTTTCAAGATAAGAAACCAGTGAATGGTGGCTAGAAAGGTACCCGTGGGGAAGGGAGCAAAGGATTTGGCACACCCCTCTTTTATGACTTCTAGATCATCAGAGATTACCACAGATCCATCAGCTGCAATGCCCCAATACAACTTCACTCCTCCATCAGAACCCTGCAAAACCATGATCAGCAACTTTGTCAGATGTACTTCAATAGTTAAGTAAAGGGGGCAAACGACAAAACAAACATGGTAGATTAGCATACCAGAGCTGCAAAGACACTTCCAACCTTGCTGTCATACACAACAAAGGCAAAGCTGCCATCAAGTTCCTTGACAACTTGATCTGCCGGGTATGGACCCCTGTCACGGAGGGTCTTATAGGCTTCAATCACAAACATGGCCTCATCGGTGTTCTTTGACAAACCATATTGCTTGATGAGTAGGGACAAATTGTTCAAGCTCCCCAAGAAGAGACAGTATATGTCATCAATCCCGCAAAACAACCTGCAATTCAAAGAAGCCAAATTGAGCATTCTTTCTAATCCTACCATGATTAAACACTAATCATGCTTACACCTTACCAATTTGAAAAATCACTCCTACCTCTACATGACCACATCCAAAATAACCTCTATAAGAAAGCAAGAAAGGTAGGTATAGGTGTAGATAACATTAAAATTCTGTATAGAAAATCATTGATCTACATCAAGAGAATGTTACATAACCTTTGATTAAGAGAGAAAGGTTGATCAGGACGGACATAAGCTAGCACAGCAGCATGACCAAAGCTCATAGAGCAAGTGTTGTGAGGATGGTGGGCAAGGAAATCTTTGAGAGTCTCCTGAGGAACCTTAGGCTTCTTGGAGCCTTTGTGAGATGCAGGACTGTTCAGCTCTTCAGGTGGATGAGCAAAAGCTTTGTGGAAAATGGCCAACATTTTGATTCTGCACCAACAATCTCTGGCCTCACTATAATTGCTTAAGAAGTATTGAAGTTGAAAAAGGAAAAGCAGGGATTGTGAGCTAGGGCCATTGCGATATATATAGCCCTATGAGGAGCACTTCAAAGTTGAAAAAAATTGGAGAGTATCAAGTTTTAAAATCTCACCACTGAGTATGCATATTTAAATTATTAAATTATAATTAATCAAAGGTTAAGATTGCATCATCTCAGAATGAGAAAGGATCTATTTCAGTCATATCTAGTACCTACCCCAAAGTTGGGAATGGTTTAAGTGACCTTGTTTGAAGTTGTGGTGTGGGTCCTATATCCTATTTTGGATAAGCATCAAATTCCAATAGGTACAGCCTCTTAATAGGTACAGCCTCTTAATCTTATCATGAGAAGTATTTTTCTTCTAATAAATATATATATGTATCACCTTAATCATAACATTAGCAATATAATTAGAACAGACATGTGATATAATTAATAGATAATCATGTTAAATATACATTACAAATTTGCTTCATAGTCTTATTTGTGTATACAAGAACTTCTCCTTTTGTCTGTATTGTTTGACAGTTTTGGCCCTATGTGGTCACTGTCATCCTTCAGAAGTCCATGTTATGTGCTATTACCATGGGAGATTGGAAGCATTTTCCCTTGTTTGGACAGCTAAACCTCTTATTCCAGGCAATAAGGCAAAGGTAATTATTGTTCTAGCCTTCAACTTGGAATTTTCTTTTATTATTATTTTTCTATGTTTCTTTTTGCCTTTCTGCTTTTGGTTTAAGAGCAGCAGAATGCAATTGCGTGTGGTAACTGGCTAATATGACCTCTAAAAATTGGACAAGATAGTTAGCAATAGATGTGACATGATATCAATAATTAAGAGGGTTAAATTATCAGTATGAACTTTGAACATGTAAACTATGTCAAGGAATTGATGAAAGTGAAACAATTGGATACACTTTGTAACGTGTGACGTACATAATATACATTCAGCAGAACCACTGTATTTTAAAGAACCTGTGGATTGTTGTTATCTTTTCTTTGTTTGAGCTTTGAATTGTGACAAGGAATCTTGGCTCTTGTTTACCTTTTTCCTTTCTCATTGGTGGACACCACACCTAATGATTGTCTCGGGGTAAGTTGTAGCCTCCATTCAATGATTCTGTTGAATGCGATTCCAGACTTTCCCAAGGTTTTCATACAGAAAAAAAAATTAAATACTTTTGAATGTTATGAAATCAATATGAAATTCACTATTTCATTTAAAATACTAAGGGCGAAGTATGGATGTAGTTAAAACTCTTTTTTTCCATAAAAAATCTCACATGAAACCTCTCACTCACTGCAATACCAACACTTAGTGAACTCCCATGTCCTTTCTAACCCTACTTCAGTAATAAAAGATGACCCAACCCCACAAAACAAAACAAAAATTATCAAACCAAAAATCAAACATATAATAATAGCCAAATTTCACGCTAACCCGTATTATTAAAAGTATCCAATGAAATATCCTAAATTTTATATCAATATACTCTAACCGGTATATTAATTTTATCTACAATATTCGATTTAAAAAGACAAAAATTATTGTATGGTACGACTGACTCTACGAAAAGTTGAAAATATTATTTTTGTATTGGTTTGAATATATATTTGTCTATTAAAACGTATGAGACTCATTATATATGAAAGAAAAAAAAACACTTTATTTTATTCAAATTAGAAAAAATACAAAACGCATTTAAACACAAAAGCACGTATCTATATAGGACTCGCTAAAACAGAAACAAACCAAAAATAGAGAATAACTCAATCAATATAACTAACACCCTCCTCAAGTTGTCTTATAAATATCAAGGACACCATTTGTATACAAGATTGTTGAAGCTTTTTGGTTTAAGAATTTTAATAAGAATATCAACTAGAAGAGATGAAAAAAAAAAACGAAATAAATTTTGTTAAAATTTATCACATACAACATGTCAATTAATCTTTATATGTTTCCTGCATTTATGGAAGCTGGATTAGATGTTTATGCATATTAGTTATCACAATCTTCGAAGTACTATCGAGAAATGGTGGTCTATTTCTTGGATTTCAAGCTGACAAGAGAGGAACCAAGAAAGATGTAATACCTCTTAAAACTAAATAAAGTTTTAGCTATTAAGCTTATTTTATTCAATGAAAGAATGACATTATATAACCTGTACAAGGAAATAGAAAAGGCATAAAAAAAGGAACTCATGACTAGGTCATGCCTACTTATGCGAAATAAACAAATAACATAGAATCTTATTCCTAGATAATAAGTTTATTAAAAATTAACAAGAAACAACGTGCATACAACGACATTCTTCCAATAAACCCTCCCTTAAATTGGACTGTTATTCAGAAAAACACAATCAGTTTATTCCTTCAATGCTACACATTCCAAGTTTTTCTCTCAATTTTACAAATACTTCAAGTTTCAAGGCCTTGGTCATGATATCAGCTAGCTGATCATTCGTACCACAATACACTAATTCAACTTCTCCTTGATTTGACAACTCTTGAAGAAAATGAAATTGAACATGAATATGCTTACTTTTAACATGCATGACTGGATTCTTTGAAAGTTTAATTGTTAAGCTGTTATCACAAAATATAATGCACTTACTTTGTTTAATCCTCAATCTCTCAAGTACATGCATCATCCAAATACTTTGGGAAGTGCACGCTGCTACAAAAATGAATTTAGCCTTGGTAGTGGATAGAGATACCACAGGCTGCTTTTTTGAACTCCAAGCAACTAAACCATTTGACATCTTAAAAACATACCCTGAAGTACTCTTTCGGTCATCAAGGTCTCCAGCATAATCACTATCATAGAAAGCTACCGAATTCTCATCTTTTTCTCTTTTGTAGAAGAGCCCCAGTCAGTGGTTCCTTTCAAATAGCGTAATACCCTTTTCACAGCTTGTTGATGCATAATTGTTGGAGCTTCCATGAAACGAACCACCAGACTCACAACATACATTAGGTCTGGCCTAGTGGCAGTTAAATACATAAGACTTCCCACCATTTGTTTATAAGTGGTAGCATCAACCTTCAACCCTCCAACATCCTTTGTGAGTTTTTGAACTTCAAGCAACTAAACCATTTGACATCTTAAAAACATACCCTGAAGTACTCTTTCGGTCATCAAGGTCTCCAGCATAATCACTATCATAGAAAGCTACCGAATTCTCATCTTTTTCTCTTTTGTAGAAGAGCCCTAAGTCAGTGGTTCCTTTCAAATAGCGCAATACCCTTTTCACAGCTTGTTGATGCATAATTGTTGGAGCTTCCATGAAACGAACCACCAAACTCACAACATACATTAGGTCTGGCCTAGTGGCAGTTAAATACATAAGACTTCCCACCATTTGTTTATAAGTGGTAGCATCAACCTTCAACCCTCCAACATCCTTTGTGAGCTTGCACCTTGGAACAAAGGGATTTTTTACTGGTGAACAATTTTGTAAACCAAATCTGTTCAGGACTTCATTAGCATACTTCTTCTGATAAATGAAGATTCCATTTGAAGTTTGTGTGACTTCTACATCAAGAAAGTATCTCATGTATCCTAGGTCAGTCATCTCAAATTCCCTTTTCAATGACCTCTTGAATTCTTTAAACATTTTCTCACTGCTTCTGGTAAAGATGAGGTCATCCACATACAAGTTCACGATAAGAACATCTGCTTCCACTTCCTTCTTTGTAAGCAAAGAGTGATCACTAGTGCTTCTTTCAAAACCCTCCTTGAAAAAGTATGATTCTATCTTGCTGAACCATGCTCGAGGGGCCTGCTTAAGCCCATAGAGAGCTTTCTTGAGTTTATATACTTTGTCTTTTGCACCTTTTACCTCAAATCCTTTTAGTTGTTTCACATACACTTCCTCTTCTATCTCTCCGTGTAGAAATGCACTATTGACATCAAGTTGATAAACTTTCCATTTGTGACTAGCTGCTATGGACAAGGTTAGTCGAATGGTATCACATCTTGTCACAGGTGCAAATACCTCAGTGTAATCGATTCTAGCTTGTTGAGTATACCCCTTTGCTACAAGATGAGTTTTACATTTGTCTACTTCTCTTTTCTCATTTAGCTTGGTCTTAAATACCCATTTAACACCACTTGTAGGTTTACTGAATAAAACGAATGGAAAAGAATAAAATAAATGGGAAAAGTTGAGAGAATGAATATGAAATTAAATCAATCGTTATTCAGCTTGTATTTAAAATGCTAGTTCAAAATACATTTATAATACTACAGTAACATAAAATGCAGTAAAAAACTAATTTGAGATATTCTCTCCTAAAATCTAGGCACATTTACTTTGACTAGAAACCCTTATTCAACAACCAAAACAGAAAAATAAAACAAATAAAAATATCATGTGCAGTCACGTGCAGTCTAAAAATCAAATATCTAACACTCCTCCTTGGTTTTGGAACCGCAAACTCCAATCTTCTGCCTTAGAAATTCAAACTTGTTGAGTGGAAGTGGTTTAGTAAACAAATCAGCAACCTGGTTTTCAGTTTTGCAATAAATTAGAACAACAACTCCATCCTTTTGTACCTCCCTTAAGAAGAACAACTTAATGTTAAAATGTTTAGTCTTCCCATGAAAAACAGGATTGTGAGAAATGGTTATTGCAGCTTGGTTATCAACAAAAACTTCTGTACTTTCGTTCTGCTCCATGTTAAGATCAATTAGAATTTTCTTCAACCACAAGACTTGGTTAACAGCAGCTGCGACAACAATAAATTCAGCTTCTGCTATAAATTGTGCAACAATTTCTTGTTTCTTTGAACTCCAAGAGAAAACACCAGATCCAAAACTAAAACAGTACCCTGAGGTACTCCTCATATCATCAATTGAGCCACCCCAATCGCTATCTGAGAAACCTTTCAGTTTAAATTCTTCAGTTCTCTTAAACTTGATGCCAAAATTTTAAG